CCGCGCGCGCTCCGCCCGCCCCGGAGCCTCGCCCTCCGCCGCGATGAGCAAATGAACGCAAGCGAGGGCATGAAATTTAAATTCCATTCAGGAGAGAAAGTGCTGTGCTTCGAGCCAGACCCCACCAAGGCGCGGGTGCTGTACGATGCCAAGGTGCCACCGCGGAGGGGCAGGGAGGAGGCGGGGGCCTGGGGTCCCGGGTGTGGGCGGCAGGGGCGGGGGCGGCCAGCAGCGGGGAGCCTCGGCAGCGGCCGGGCTCCTTGGCCTGCGCACGGCAGCGCGGGCAGCAGGGGGCGCTCGCGCAGCGTCGCGCATGGAGTCGGGGCGTGGTGCTTCCTCTTCCGCTTCCCGTCGGGCAGCGTGGCTCACGCGCGGCCGTGAGACCGGGGCTGCAGTTTGATCCCACGGCGCCAAGGCAGGCTGTGCGTGTAGGTAGACTGTCAGCTAGGGTCTTTAACCTGCGGTGTTTCTCCTGTGAGGCCCTGGCCGCCCTACTCAGGTCCACAGCGTTGGCCGCTTACTAGCGATGTCATTGCCTTGGGACCTTACTCAAGTTGACTCCTCCCGTGGACCGCGATCCCTACCCAGACGGCAGGGTTGCCCCAGTGCTTTGCATCCTCAGGTCTTTGCACCCTGAAGGAGTTGCATGTGTCTTTGTGAGGGCCACTTGCGTCTGTGGGGCTAAAGCCACATCTTACAGGTCCTCAGGTCTGGGTCGCGGGCAGGAGTATCCAGCGGAGTCCTCCCCGGTCCCTGCGGAAAGAGCATTTCAGCGTGTTGGGGATGGGAGCTGGCCTCAGTGCCTGGCGTCACCAGGGCGAAACCTTTGATGAGAACGACAGGGGACGGCCCCGGGTGCGACTTTAGGGAAGCTTGGGAGGTGCTGTCCTATAGGACACCCTAAGGTCGCCCGCATGTTTCTGTTCTATCTTTGGGCTCCTCTGCAGCTCCTGTCTCGGTTTTCTAAGTCCCTTTGCTACCCCTCTTCCCGCCCGAGTCTCTCCACGGCTGATGCACCTCACCATTTGCTCCAGTCCTTTTCTCGGGGTGCATAGATGGCAGAGGTGTCCAAATCTCCTGACATCCGATCTGGGCATTGGCCACAGTGGAGCGCGGGAAACTACAACTCCCAGAGGCCTTAGGGCTGCAGCTCTCTTGTTTGGTCTGCGCTCTCATTAGTGATAGATCCGCAGGCCAATGGCTTAAGAAGCTTCACCCTGTCTCAAACTCAGAGACCAATCATGGAGAGGTTAGACGGATGTTTCCTATTTTGAGGTATCCACTCAGGGGAAAAACTGGTATTGAAAGGAAAAATGTTCAACCCAGCTGTCGGTCTAAAAAAGGAGATAATGTGCTCTTTTCTGCTGAAAAAAAGCACTGTGATCTAGTTTTCCTGATCTGATTTCTAATTTTCTGTGTGTTCTGGCATTCGTGGCCAATTTTTCCTTGTTTCAGATTGTCGATGTTATTGTTGGGAAAGACGAGAAAGGCAGAAAGATCCCTGAATATCTGATCCATTTTAATGGTTGGAACAGAAGGTGAGTACACTTGTTAAACCGAACTGAATATTGATCGTCTTTCTAGCGTAAAAACATTGCAAACTTCTTTAAGTTTTAGAAACACTTGTAGAAAAGTTTCATTTCCTGTTTTTTTGCTTTTTTTCTCAGAGCTTGCCTATTTTGAGGAATGATTACTTATAAGTCCATTATATTTAGATTTTCTTTGAGTGATTTTGGAAACCCCGATTGTTTCTGTGCCTAAATTACTTTTTAAGCTTATTTGTACCTTTTTTGGGATATTAAAGTGTCTGCGTAGTTTTAAAAAATGCAGTAATTCTGGGGAACGGTCCCTTCTGTTCCTTTGAGGTGCTTTTAGCTTTTGTTTCATATGAAACCAAAATACTGAATTTTGCACCCTCTTCTTTTTTGTTCAATTAGCTGGGATAGATGGGCAGCCGAAGATCATGTGCTTCGTGATACAGATGAAAATCGTAGATTACAGCGTAAATTGGCAAGAAAAGCTGTAGCTCGCCTGTAAGAATACAAGTGTTATTCAATGCATTTTTCTTAGTGTTTTGAATTTTTATGGTATAAAAGTCATAAAACAACAAGTTTATTAAGTAATATTTGAATTATATGAAGAGTTCCTATAGTATTCTAAATGAGTGTTTTCAGGATAGTTGTTGTATAATATTCTAAAGTGGAGGTCACCATTTGTTATAAAACTGAAGTTTCAAGACGTTAAAGATTCATTGTTTATCTTATTTTGATCCCAGGACCCATACCTGTTGATGTCCAAATTTATTTCAGTTGTGGTTATCTTCTTCAGGAGAAGCACTGGAAGAAAGAAGAAGCGCTGCAGGTTGCCTGGTGTTGACACTGTCTTAAAAAGCTCCCCTACTGCAGAAAAAAATGAAAATGATGAAAACTGTGAGTAGCTAGACTTCATCTTCTTTGGTTAAAAGAACTTTTTTCTAGTTGTTTTATACTTCAGGATTGAAGAGAAGATTGATTTATGGACAGGGAAATATTTCAAATTCATTACACACAGACAGTCCCTAACTTGGTATTTTTTTTTTTAGTTTATGTTCATAATACATAATGATTATGATTGATGGCATTGGGGAGTTGGTACATATATATAACATATCTTGATCATCTTTAATCTCTTTACCTCTCTTCTCTAACTTTCCTTCTCTCCCGATTCCCTTCCCCATTTCTAAAATGTCTGCCTTTTTGTTTCCTGCCATTTTGGCCTTTATTTTATGCTTTTATGTACTTATATTTTAGGTTTCTTATATAAGGGAAACCATGTATTTTAATTTCTTTCACTTAACATTATGGTCTCAAGTTCTATCCATTTTCGTGCAAATGACAAGATTTCCTTCTTCTCTCTGGCTGAATAATATCTGCTGTGTATATATGCCACTTTTTTAAAAATCCATTTGACTGTTGATGTGCGTCTAGACTGTTTGCAGAACTTAGCTATTGTGAATTGCGCTTCTATAAACATGAGTATGCATGGATCAGTATAACATCAGGTCTTTACCTTTTCCAGTAATATGCCCAGGAGAGGTGTAGCTGGGTCAGAGCATAGCCATGTAACTCTTTAGTTTTTCACTTTCAGTGCAGGTTTTAATTAATTTTGTGAGATATTTAACAGTTGATTGTGAAGTAAGTTTTGTATTAGATGAGTTTGCCCAGGTGTTAGTGTTCTGAGCGCATTTAAAGTAGTAAGATACGACGTTCAGTATGCTTGGTGTATTCAGGGCACTTTCAGTTAAAAGGTTTTCCATTTACAATGAGTTGATTTCATATAACCCCAGCATGTTGTGATGTGCTATATAATATGTGCTCCTTCTGTTTTTGAGAAAATACCAGTCAACATGATAAATCACTACGTCATTAACAAGGCATTATCAGAATCATGTTTATGAGTGCTACCTTTTCAACGAATGAACCCCTCACAGGTCCTTCCTGATGGGCTGTTCTCTACTTGGTACCTCTTGGGCTTTGCCCCAAGTAAGAATCCAGCAGGGAACCAGAGGAAACACTTTTGGATCATCATCTCATGTGATTTTTGCATCCATTGAAATTGATATTTACCTAAAGTGAAATGCTATTCACAAAAATAGAGTATCTGTGTTTAGCACTTAAAATACATGCAGGTCTGCAGATCATCATTCTAGGATGCACACTGTACCTAAAGATCTGTAAACATAACAGTTGGCAAAGTATGTAATAGTAGTTTGCCTGATGTTTTGTTTCACATAGCCATAAGCACTTCCTCTGATGACAGTGAAGAAAAGGATGAAGAAATAAGTGACGAAAGTGATAGTGAAGAAAAGCCTGAAGTGGTATAAAAAAGTTTTTATCATTAAAACTCTGTCATTGGTATATATTTCAGTGGTAAAATTTTATGGTAAAATTTTCTAATTATGAATTATTTTCTAGAGATACATTTTTGGACCAATATTATAAATCTTTACTTGATACTTCAGGAAAAACAATCTAATTCATGGTTACTACATGAGCCTCCTAGTGGCTCTTTATACCTGTAAAATATTCCCACAAATTGTAATTATGTCTTCTGCTAAAATTGTGGGCTGTGTTTTGTAATGGTTGAATGTTTCAGCGGAGTATAACAGAGTCTGGCCTCTCTTCCCTGCTTCCAAAGATAACATAAACCCCAGTGGCAAATGTACATGGGTAAGAAACAAAATAAGTATTTTCAACGCAGTGAATGCTATAAAACAAGTTCATTTTGGGCCGTTAGCAACTTTTAATTAGAACATGTGGCATAATGTGAATGTTCAGAGTTAACTGTTTCATAACAGTCACTCATGTGGCAGGTCATCTTTGTATGTAGACTCGCCTGTTGTTTTAAATAATTAAAAGTGAATTGCAATGTTACAGAAAGAGGAACTAGAGCTGCAAACAAGAAAGGAAATGGAAGAACGAACAATAACTATAGACATCCCTGAAGTTCTGAAGAAGCAACTCGAAGATGATTGTTACTATATTAACAGGAGGAAACGGGTATGTGGGCAGAGCTTGTGAGACATGGATTTGTTGAAGAGCTTTCATTCAGCCCTGGTAGTTTGCAATCCCAAACTCAAGTAATAAGCTTAGAGGAATGAAATTTATGTCTTCAGTTTTATACGGGGTCAGGTTTTAAAGTTCACTGACAGTGACACTGTACTTTTTTTTTTTTTTGGTTTTTCTCCGGTACCGGGAACCGAACTCACGACCTTGCGCATGCCAGGCAGGCGCTTTTTGCCGCTGAGCTAAGTCCCCAGCCCCTGACACTGTACTTCTGATTAACCTCAAACTCCTACACCCCTGGCTTGCCCAGGTGAATCTTCTAGGAGAGTGGCGGCAAAACTGTGGCACACATGCTGCATCCAGCTGTTTATCATTGAGAGCTCAAAAAGGTTTACCGTTCCTGTTCTAGTGTGCATTCTGTGGGTGTAGTTTTTAGAGGGTCCCTCAAGTTATTCTAATGTAACACTGAGATGGATGATCACTGCTTATATTTATTCAAAAAAGTAATGATGTGATCAGCATGAGGATATGATCAACAGAGGGAACTACGATCAGTCTGCACATTTTTTTAAGAAGTTCTAATCAAGCAGAATTGGCTTTGCTTTATGTTTTTTAGTTGAAAAGTGGTAGAGACATTACCAAGTTGTAGACAGGTGAAAGAAAGAAGGAATCATAGTGATGTTAATTGTAATATATGTGTGTTTATATATTTAATTTATAATCATAATGAATATAGAAAATTCCCAAGAAGGTTCAAAACAACTTTATTTTCTTAAAGTTTGTGAAAAAAAGGTGATAAAGATATAAGCAGTCTTTCTTGGAATATGTGGTTTACTACAATGGGATGCGTACATTGGTTTTTTTTTTTTTTTTGGTACTGGGAATCAAACTCAGGACCTTGTGCTTGCCAGGCAGGCACTTGTACCACTGGGCTATATCCCCGGCCCTGGGATGCATACATTATATGTCTGTATTTATGTTACAGTTAGTGAAACTTCCATGCCAGACCAACATCATAACTATTTTGGAATCCTACGTGAAGCATTTTGCTATCAATGCAGCCTTTTCAGCCAATGAGAGGCCTCGTCACCATCATGCCATGATGCATGCCAACATGAATGTGCATTATATTCCGGCAGAAAAGAAGTGAGTACCAACGTGTTTGGCATCTTGTGGTTCCCTCTTTGGGTGTTAGGGTTTAGAACAAGGACTGCTTTTTCCATTCAATTATTTTGAATTTTCATATGTATCATTTGGTGATTAATTTGTTGCTAACTCATTGAATAATCAAATATCAAAATAGTGTTGCATTTGTGAAATCTTTGGTAACTCTTCGTGCATTTGGCTTGGATTGATAGTGTATTACCTTGGCACTGGGACCAGTATTTGCAGTGATATTATAAAAGGCCAGAAGTCTTTTTCCCTAAGGAGCACCAGCAAAAGCAATGAGAGTTTGATCAAAGAATGGTTACACACAGGTCTTGATTCTAGTCAGATTAGCCTTCCTCATATCCTGCCTGCTTATATCACGTGGCAGGACCAGAGTCAGATAGGTAGAATGTTGGAGTTGAACCAGGTTAGGAGTGCATCGGGTACTTGTCCACCTGTCCACTCTCAACCATGCAGGCTGCTGGGACTTCTCATGTGGCATTAAACCTATTTGTGTCAAATGGGTAAGTTACGGTCACTAGCATGCTGTCTGCACTTTATAATATAGGTGTGTTTCTCTATTTAAGTGTTTATTGTTAGCCTCTATAGATTCATTTCATTCTTTGTATGTCTAGAAATAATGTATAATGTATAAGAAGTCTGCCCTAAGAAGAGACCAAAAATGGGTGGGGGAGACATGCCCTATTAACAACGGGCACTTTTGCTGGGAAAGTTTGGAAAGTACCTCTCATTTATTGAGTCTCTAATGTCTTTTTTCTAATCCTCGTAGCGTTGACCTTTGTAAGGAGATGGTGGATGGGCTGAGAATAACCTTTGATTATACGCTCCCGTTGGTTCTGCTCTACCCATATGAACAAGCTCAGTATAAAAAGGTGACATCGTCTAAATTTTTTCTTCCAATTAAAGAAAGTGCTACAAACACTAATAGGTAAGTTAAACAGTCTGCGCCTTCTCTCTCAGATGTCAGTATTGAAATAATCAGCTCCTTTTTGGAGGGGTTCAGTCTGATGCCATGGGAGCACTGTGTTTGGAGAACGGAAATGATTCAAATGCGCTCCTGCTGGTGGGTTTTTCCTTCCCCTGTGTAAGCTCAAGTCACATTCACTTTCTCATGGCTCTGAAGGATTTGCCCATGTGGTGATTCCAGGGGAGAGAACTGAGTTGGGTTGTGAGCAGCTGTCCACATCTTTCAGAAGACTGGGATAGGTGATGGGAGTACAGGCCGGGAAGGGCAGAAGAAGGGCTCGAATTGCACCCCCCACTTGCTGCTGTGTGACTGAGGAAGGTTCCTTCTGAGCCTCTTTTATTTGCCTCTGGATATGGAATGAGCCCCTGGCTCCCGGGTGGTTAGAATTAAATGAGACTGTTCCCAAGGGGCCAGCAGCCTTTGGCCCTAGTAAAGGTTGCTTCCTTTCTCGCTCTGTTGTGTCACCACTTTTCTTTCCTTGATGGCCAGACGTGCTCAAATCTCTATTCTTTTTTTTCAATTTATTTTATTAGTACATATTTACAGTAAGTGGTGCTCGCACTCCTCATAGGGAGTTGGTAAATGTGCATAACACATCTTCATCCCTACCTACCCTCTCCCCTCCGTCCGTCTCATGGTCCCCTTGCCATTTGCAAAAGATCTACCTCCCTATTTCCTAAGAAAGAGATCTATCTTCTTTGATGGGGGGGATTCCCCAGCCTAAGTCATTATTCTTAATCTCTGAAAGGTGCTCATCTCCCTCCCCTCTTTCTGAGGACAGTCTGTTCTCAAGCTTTCTACTCATCCATTCCTTTATCTGCTTTTATCTACTGCCTTTATCATCTGCCTTTCTCTACTACTGCTCTCCCTCCGAGGGCACTAGACTTTCTCCAGAGGCGAGAGTGACATCCTACTTGGCGTACAGCATGCTTCACGTCGACCACCTTTCCCACTCAGCCCTTCTGTCTTAGCCCCATGGCTCTTGGTTCTCACTCTGCCTCTCCACTCTCTCCCTTTGGTAGCTTCTTTTTTCCCCATGACAGTTTCACCCCAGCTGAGAGACTGGTGCTCACTGGGGACCTGTGCTGAAGTCCCCATGGCCTACTCCACATCTTGAGATTCCCAGTATCCCGGGGGACTGCAATGCTAGTGATTTTTTTCTGTAGTTATATTTGGAGAAGATGCTATAGTAGTCTGTCTGTCTGTGTTTCTTTCTTTCTTTCTTTCTTTCTTTCTTTCTTTCTTTCTTTCTTTCTTTCTTTTTTTTAAGTACTGAGGATCAAACCTAGGGCCTCAAACATGGCAGGCAAGTGCTCTACCTCTGAGCTACATCCCCAGTCCTTTTTCTTTTACTCTGAGATAAGGTCTCATTAAGTTTGCCAGGCTGGGCTGAAAGTGGTGATTCTCCTGCCCCAGCCTTGTGGATTACAGACACATGCCACTGTACCAGGCTATAGGTAGATGATGTAGTATTCTTATTCTGTAACCAGATGAGGACTTCTCAACCTCAGCCTTGTGGGTGTTTTGGACTGGATCATTCTCTGTTTTGGCTGCCATCCTATGCAACGTAGGATATTTAGCAGTACCCGGTCTCCCCAGATGTGTCCCACCTGCAGCCTGCAAGCTGCTTGACTTCTTTTCTTTCAGTGTTATAATAACAAATATAAAAAACAAAGGAAGTCCATTACTTATATACATCAACTGTATTATGTATAAGGGGTTTAAGACAATTTCTTTTTACTTAGTGTGGCCCAGGCAAGCTAAAAGGTTGGACACGCCTGTGCAACTAGACAGCAGTGGCTTACCTTCCCTCAGCTGTGGCAATCAAAACTGTCTCCATTCACTGCCAGCTGTCCTTTAAAGCAAAAGTACTCCCACTTGAGAGCCATTGCTCTAAGAAAATAGAAAAGAAGCATTATCGTCTTTCATGCCAGCCTGCCTTGCAGAGTTATGGAGAGGATTAAAATGACTTTATATATTTAGTGACTCTAAAAAAGTATGTGTTTTGGCACATTGAGGGTTGCAGCTATGCTGCTGTACTGGAGGGAAAGCAGGTTTCCAATTAGGAGGTCCTTTAAGATGTCCCCAGATTCTGCAGAGGCTCCAAGGTGGCCGCATGTGACATTGCCCCTCTTGCCTAGGAGCCAGGAGGAGCTCTCTCCCAGTCCACCTTTGTTGAATCCGTCCACGCCACAGTCCACAGAGAGTCAGCCGACTACTGGTGAACCTGCCACCCCCAAGAGGCGCAAAGCCGAGCCAGAAGCCATGCAGTCTCTGCGGCGGTCCACACGCCACAGCACCAATTGTGACCGGCTGTCCGAGAGCAGCGCCTCGCCGCAGCCCAAGAGGCGGCAGCAGGACACATCCGCCAGCATGCCCAAGCTGTTCCTGCACCTGGAAAAGAGTAGGTCCTGTGCCAGAAGCCAGGGCGGGAGAGCCGCTTGCTCCGTGCTCAGTCTGGGCTGGACCCCAGGCTGCCTCGATGCCTGTGGGTATACAGTGTGCGATTCCAGGATGAGTCCCAAGTACTGCTAGGCTGCCTGCCTCCCGGAGGAGGAAACAGCCCTAGAAGGATGAGCAGCTGGCGTGCGTAGCACAGGGAGGTGGTGGGAAGGGTAGGACTGGGCTCTGTGTCCTGAACTTTTTCCTCATCCTCTCCACCTCTTCGTGTGAGCAGACTGAATTATCAGAATCCCATGTTGTAGAGAGTCCTAAAGATGTGTTCAAAATGAGCAGTTCTAGAGGGTTTTGTTTTAGTTCTTGTTTTCAAGACATGCCTTTAAAAGAATCCTTTTGAATATTCAAGTATCAGAAAAAATCAGATGCTATTTTTTTTAGCAGTTTTGAGATGAATCCACAGACTACAAATTACCCATTTAAAGTGGTTTTTAATGCATTCAGAGTTACGCAACCATCACCAAAACCAGTTCCAGACATCTTCACCACCCACATGCGCTACAGTCATTCCTCCTGAGCCCCTCCCCGCGTTCTCTGGCATACACTTGCCTATTCGAGGCATTTCATGTAGATGGAACCATCTGATATGTATGTAGGCGGTTAATAAGCACTGGTTGAGTGAAGAGCAGAAGATTCACCTGGCAAGGGTAAAAGGCATGGGTTTTTGTAAGTTCCTAAAAGATGAAGCGCTGTCTCTCTTCTGTTTCTCTCTTCCTATTTTTATTTATTGAGAGAAAATTCACACATGAAAGTAACCATTATAAAGTGATAGTTCAGTGGCACTTTTAACAGTTTTTTCAACATAATCCACGTAGCATACATTTCACCCATTTTAGGGGTTCAGTTCAGTGGCTTTTAACACATTCAATGAGTTGTGAACCATCTCTAGGATCAACTCTGACACATTTTCAACACCCCCAAAAGAAGCGCCATCCCTACTAGCAGTTGTTCCCTGTTTCCCCTCTGTGTGAGCCTCTCACAGCCGCTGCTTTCTGTCTTTATGGCTTTGCATGTGCTGGACAATTCATAGAAATGGAATCGCAGTATGTGACCCTTTGTGGCTGGCTCCTTTCCCTCTAGCATAACATTCGCCGGGGTCATCCATGCTATAACAAGCATCAGGACTCTCTCTTTTTTAACCAAATGATATTCCAGATGCAATCTTTTTTTTTATAGGAGGAAAGTCTTACTGTTAAAGATTCCTAATTTCTCAGAATCAATTTAGATTTATGTTCTGCTTTTTATAACAGTCTTGATGATAGTCTTTAATGCAGTTGCTTTGTAACTCATGGGCAAATAATTACACCTTTTTCTTTTCAAGAGACACCTGTTCATAGCAGATCGTCTTCCCCCATTCCTCTGACTCCTAGTAAGGAAGGGAGTGGTGTGTTTGCTGGCTTTGAAGGTAGAAGAACTAATGAAATAAATGAGGTAATGAGATAAGTATTCGATGTTCATCTCTAATGATTGCTTTACTTTTTGTAGTTGCTTAAATCCTAGCTCATTGTTAATGTTAAGTGTGTTTTATTGCATTTTATTATATTCTCGTTTTCCGAAAATTAGTAATCAACACATGGTATATGTGGAGATTCCAAATTAACATGCATATTCAATTAACCACAAGATCCTGCTCTTTATTCTGAATACACTGGAGTTTATTTCAATGTAGAAAACAGATAAATTAGGAGGCATTCATTTGCATTACAACAGCATTCTTATTCTAAGAGAGGCTTCCTCCTGGGGTTCTTTTAAATAGAAAGCTCTCCAAGTACTTCGGAAAATATAATTTGATTTTTAAAAAGTCTCTTCTCATATAGTTTTTCAGAAACATGCTTATTATATGAAAGGAGAGGCATATCTAATTTAGGGTTTTAGCTTTATACTTAGAACTGTCTTCCATTCTAAATAAGTGCAATTACTGAAATATTTGTATTTTCATTCTGTAGAGCAGACATCAATGCGCTGCTTTTGCTAAGGTCCAGACAGTAAATATTTTAGGCTTTGTGGGTCACATGGCATCTGTTAATATTAGTCAACTCTGAAAGTAACCAGAGACGATATGGAAATAAAATGGGTGTTCTGTGTTCTGATGAAACTTTACTTGTGGGTTTTGAAGTTTGAATAGCACATGGTTTTCATGTGTTACGAAATGTTCTTTTGTCTTTCATTTAAAAACGTGAAATCTATGCTTAGCCTGGGCAGCATAGAAGCAGTCAATGGTTGGGTCACATGTGACTAGCAGGCAGTGGTTTTCTGACCCCTGCTTTTGGGATCTGATTTTCCTCCATTATCAGCAGTAATCCTAATAACAATCCCTTTGAGGGCATGCTGTCTGTATACCAGCATGGTGCCAGATACTTGAACCTGTTACCTTGAATTCCTGAGAACAGCCTAGCTACCTGATGTTCATTTCACAGATGAGGAAACTTAATATTACAACTGTTTTTAAGATCACTCAAGTTACATATTTTGTGAGCATTTCTGGGGTTCAGAAGAAGTCTTAGTCCACTGGGATAGTCTGTGAATTCGCTGTATGGTGGGATTTCTTTGGTTTCTTCTGTTATTTTTAAAATGAGTAGGAGTTGCATTTAGTGATAGGAACAGGGACCATCAAATTATTTTTGTATAAGGCCGGAGATATAGCTCAGCGGTGCAGCACTTGCCTGGCAAGCATGAGGTCCTGAGTTTGATTACTGGTACCAAAAGAACCAAAAACCATTTGTGTATAAAGGGCTGGATTGTAAATATTTTCAGTGTGCGTATTGTATGGTATGGCTTTTTTTCTTCTTTTTTTTTGGTAGGGGAGATTGAACTCAGGACCTTGTGCTTGCCAGGCAGCCACTTGTGCCGCTGAGCTGCATCCCAGGCCCCAGTGTGCACACTGTATGATCTCTTTTGAAATTGCTCAAATCTGTTTTTATAACATGAAAGTAGCATGGACAGGTACAGGCACCTGCCCGCAGATTCATTTTTGGGTTCTGGAAGCTGAATTTCATATGATTTGCACATAACATGAAGTATTATTCGTTTGATTTTTTTTTTTTGGAGAACATGCCCCTTGGCCTGATTTGGCCCATGGGCTATAGTTTGCTGACCGCAGATATGGGAGTTAGCAACCCCCATTTATGTTATGATCATTGAGGGTAAGTTAGGAAATTTCTAGTGTAAGCTGACCCTAGCGCTGTGATTTTTTCAGGCAAGGAGACATTGCAGCTTTTATTATTTAAGTGGAATCATGTCTCTAAAAGGTTATTGGAATATTTACACAAGGACCATTTCTACTCTGGTCCCTGGTTCGAGGCTGCCATCTAGTGGTATCAGGTACAGCTGCAAACCACAGTAAAGAAGGGTGCTTTCTGGTAAAAGGATGTTCAGCAGACTCTCACAAGGTTTGGAGCCGTTAGTGAATTCCCACATCCCTGAGCACTGTTACTGAGTGTTTCAACAATGGCTCTTCACCTGAATTTCCCGTGGTTCATTCTGTAGCGCTGAAGACCTGGACTATGCCAATTAAGATCTACAGGTAGCCCTTAGATATTCCCCACCAAAAATCCCTCCTCTGGAAACTTATTCTTTTCCCCATAAAATGTATTTTTGATAAGCAGGAGTTTATGTATTGCATTGAAATACTGAACTAATTGCTGCCGATTTGCTTCCTAAGTGACCTGCCTTTGCATACAGCATGTGGTTTATGCATCTGATGATTACAAATTGCCCCATGTCCCTCTGAGTGTCACTGTGCAAGCGTTTCCCACGTTTCAGCCACAAGCCCTGGGTTAGGTGCTGGCATGGTATAAAGATGCTGACAGTCCTGCTCGCAGCAGTCTGCTGCGCAGAAGGGCGGCACGGGGCTGGGCGGTTGAAGAGTCTGGAGCCAACAAGGCAGGAGCTAAGTGAAGTTAGGGCCTTCATCCTGGAGTCCAGCAGCACCACCGCAGTCCTGGTGTGCTACAGGTTCATTTTGGCAAATTGACTGAGAAGCAGTTCTGATCTTTTTGGAGCACTCTTCTGCTTTATCTCCCAGCATATCCTGCAAAGTGACTGTTTCCACGTGAAACCTTAATGTCTCCCGGAAGGCAAAGAGACAAATGAGTAGAACAGACTCAGGGTCTCCAATTTGCTGAAATATTTCTAGGGAAATTCATCAGAGCTTTGAAATGCAGCTCTCACTTTGACAAAAGCCCAAGTCCACCCACAGTTCTGAAATTCAGAGTAGAGGCAGAAAAAGGAGTTACCAGGTTGGAAGTCAGTTGATTCATGGATCTTAAAGGTTCGTATTAGTTCCCACAGTGAATCTAACTGCAGGAAATTAGGGGATCTCAAAACAAGGACGACATTATGTATGACATCTTTGGTTAACTTTTTCATGCTTCATTGTTTTTCTGACCCAGGAGTACAGTACTTCTAATAAGGGAAAAAGGTCTAAGTGACCAAAACAGTGTCAATTATTTGTAGAAAGAGCTGTTGAAAATTAAGAAATCAAATATTTCCTTCATCTAATTTTAAGTCATTCTGCCCCTCGCTGTTTTTTACATTTGTACGTTTGTGTTTATTTTGATGTGGTGGCACATTTTTCCCTCTTCATACAATCTACTGTCATACGATTCAGTTATCGGAAGTGTCTCCGTTAGTAATGAAGGCATGCACATTGTGCTTTTTCCAGGTCCTCTCCTGGAAGCTTGTGCCTGACAATTACCCTCCAGGTGACCAGCCACCTCCACCTTCTTATATTTACGGGGCACAGCATTTGCTGCGATTGTTTGGTAAGAATCCCAGCCCCTGCTCTCTTCTTTCCATTTCATACTTAGCTCTGATTTAACACTCTTGTTAGCTTATGCACTTCTTGTGGTTTGGGCTATAAATATCTAATTTTTCAATTTCGAGCTCTTAGAAAACTCATCCAAAGGTGACCTCTTCAAAGGAAAGGCATTGAATAAATCCTAAATGTCATAAAAGTTGTATGCGTCATGTTTGTAGTACTACTGTACCTTTGTTCTGTAAGTTTTTGTTTGATAATGTGAATGTTAATTTCAGATTCAAAAAGGAAACAGGGTCCCAGATGATCCAAGAATATATTCTATGTGGTGTCACATTCTGCTCACTACAAATATGTTTGCCTTTACTTTTAATGCAGTAAAACTTCCAGAAATCCTTGGAAAGATGTCCTTTTCTGAGAAGAATCTGAAAGCTTTACTGAAGCACTTTGATCTTTTTCTGAGGTATTTTTATTACTTTGTCAAAATGTGCCTCTGCTACTGTATGTGTGACTTTTTCAATACTCTTGCGCACATGTGGAGAGTAGCACTACAGTATTTTAAATAGGAGCACTGTTACCTAAGTATGGTGGGTTCTCACCATAATAGTAATTTAAGGGGAGGGTGGTTGTTCTTTTTGTTGTTTTGGTATTTGTCTTCTCCCAAATCTCTGAGTCAAGGGCACGTACTCTGCAGAGGTAAAAGGATTTTGGAGACCTAGAAGAATCCAGTTGAATAACATTGTAAATAGTAAATTTTCTAAAGTGACATGATTGAGATTAACAGTAGTTTAGTGCATTTTTTTCATTTAAGAATGCCTTAAGCATTGGACTTTGGTTTGTTACACAAACCAATGCACACAAACTAATTTAAAGATTAGCCTTTACAGTTTGGATATTTGGATTTGCCTTAGAGTTAAGATAATTGACCCCTAGTCTGTGCTGATGTTTGTGAATTCAGAGAAAGACATTGACTTCTTCACCTGACAAAGCTAGTCATTTTCTTAGCAAGTGGGATCTTTTGCTACAAGGATTTGCTCCCTTATCGTTACTGTCCTTTCCATGATTGAGCTCCAGTAGCCCCCTCTCCCATCCAGGTATCTGTTGCCTACTTCCTGAGCTAGGCCTTCCAGCTAGTCTCCACTCTGCTTTGTCCAGTGAGACCCTCCTACCTGACCCTCTCTTCTCCTCTGTAAAGGGCACCTTTTCCTTCTAAGGCAGGCCCCACCCTGACTAAGCTAGTAGGACTCACCAGAGTGGAGAGTGCCCAACCTGGGAAATTAGTCTTTTGTGCTTTCTTGGTTTGGTTTTGCGGTGCTGAGGATTGAACTGAGAGCCTTGCACATACAAAGTAAGTACTCTGCTACTGAGCCATGCTCCCAGTTCTCTCTCTTTCCTTCCTCCCACCCTCCTTCTCCTTTTCTTCATTCCTTTTTTTCTTGAGACAGGATATACCCAAGTTTCCTAGCCTTTTGAATTTATGATCCTGCTGCCTCAGCCTCTCAAATAGCTGGGGTTATAGGCATGGCTACCACACCCAACTCGTTCTTGTAGTTTTAAAGTATAATTTGGTATAGGAAGTTTGAACAACATTTTGGTGAGTGGAATTAAGCTTTATAGCATTTTATTGGAAACGGATTTCAAAAATACCCTCTTCACTCCCAGCTTCCCCCTCATACCTGTAACTCTATTTGATGCAAATATTTTTACACTGAAATCAAACTGTGCCAAGAAAATATGAAGAGACAACTGCAAGTTAGCACAGGGAAACCTGCTAATTTTGGAGTATTCCAAATATAAAGTAGAGATTAGGATTTTAAAAATAACTTAGGAGGATTTACAAATAAGTATAGTAAGAGGTTTAAAAGATACATCCAACGACATTAATTAATCACAGTGGGCTCTGTAATGGGTACAATCACAGAAGAAAAAAGACTTAGCTATCAAATGGATTTTGACTTGTTTTTTTCCTAAAGAGGGTGTTGTACATGTTTAGCTATTTGAACAGTTGGGAGGTAGCTGGGAAAACCAGCATAAAACAAATTCCTTTGCTAGTGAATATTATGAGGGTGTTTTAAACCCTCATAGCAAAATCAGCAAGAGTTTGAGTCAGGGTGTCAGGTATACGTTGCAGACTCGTGAACGTACAGCCAGGTTTCAACATATATCTTCAGGTAGAATTTAGTCTTTTTGTGTTTTGGTATTATAACTTAGAACCATAATACCTTATACCATTGCAAATTAGGACACAAAATGTTATTGCTAATTATTCAGTCCAATTTTGGGATAATTTCATACATAAAAGAAACACGCATTTCTTTGTTTTGTTGGTTTTTTTTTTTGGTTTTTCTCCGGTACCGGGAACCGAACTCACGACCTTGCGCTTGCCAGGCAGGCGCTTTTGCCGCTGAGCTAAATCCCCAGCCCCGAAACATGCATTTCTTAAGTGACATATATTGAGTTGTGTGTATGTGTGCGTGCATGCATATGTGTGTGCTTTATAGATCTATGGATCAAACCTGGGGTATTCCTACCCCATGTTATTTGAGACAGAGTCTTGCTAAGCTGAACAAGTGAATCTCCTGCCTCAGCCTCCCAAGTAGCTAGGATTACAGTCATGTGCCACCATGCCTACCTGTTATTTTTTATAATTTGAAAAATAGGAAAAAAACAAAAAATATATATGCAAGGAAAAAAAGAAAAACAGGAAAATACTGAGAGGCTTTTTTTCACAGAAATATATCCATAACCAGACTACCACCTAGTGGAGTTCAGGTTCTGCTTTAGGTTCTGTTATACCGGCTGATGGTGAAGGGATTCAGATAAATAATAATTAACTTAGAAGCCAGATGAGTATAGTGAAAGTAATCATTATATAGAAATCAAGACTATAATCATTTCTTCTCCCTAACACAATGAGTTGAAACGTTAGAGTTGGTTGAAAGTTAATATTTTGCTTAATGATATTCAGCCCTGAGCATGATATTCATCAGGTCCATTTTTTTTCCTTTTTTTAGGTTTTTAGCAGAATACCATGATGACTTCTTCCCAGAGTCAGCTTATGTCGCTGCGTGTGAGGCACACTATAGCACCAAGAACCCCAGGGCAATTTATTAACGTCTGGATGGTTCTGTGAGGACATGCCTGTTTGGCTTTGTATTCTGGATTTCAGGTGACGAACTAGTGAGACAGCAGGCCTTCTTTTTTGTTTTTTTTTTTTTGGTCCTTTTGCGACAGGGTGAATTGCCCACTTACTGTAGTATCTCTGTTAAGAATTGTTTCCCAGGTGCCTGAACATAGCTCAGATAAAACCCTTACTGTTACATAGGACATCTGTGGTGGCAGGCAAAGACAGCTGTTCATAGTGAAACGTCCGGGAGAGTGTACATAAGTTAGGCTGTTTTGGAAGACATTGCAGCTAATTGTTAGTGAGAGCCACATTGTTGAGTTATTTGTTAGCACTAAAGAAGATATTTTTGCAGACTATTTTCATGCTTGTGGTGAGGCTGAGCGACTCTGCCCAACCGATTTTAGTTGGTACTTGGAAACCACGAAGTTGTCTCAGAGTCTTAGAGGAGATATTGATGGCCAAAGGAAATTTGCAGCTATACATTTACTTGTAACAGTTCCCTCTCTATAAAATGTTATTTTTGGAGATCTAAATAAAGCATTGCCTGTCTTGTTTGAGATTTTACAACTGTACTTTGTTGAGTAATGTCATGGTTCCCTTTCTATAAAATGTTATTTTTGGTGATCTAAATGAAGTGTTGCCTGTCTTATTTGAAAGAAGCAAGAGAGTTCTCATGTGCTGACCTTGTCCTTTTCTCTTTATTAGTGGGATGACCTCTTTACTCGTGACTGTTTCATTGTTTTACTTTTATGCCTTTATTTCCTTTCCTTTTGTTTTGCGTCACCTGGCAGCATGAACAGATGGTGGTTACTGGAAGTCCTTGTTCTGTGCTGTCTTGTTGCTGCACGGAGGCAGGGTGGGGGTCCATCTAGGCCTGACACAAGTTTATCCTCCAAAACTGCCATCTAATGGTTTATGCCAGTGGTGGCGAACCTATGGCACGTGTTCCGCAGTGGGCTGTTTGTGTCATTTGAAGGCTCTAAAAGGTTTGCCATCACTGGCTATGCAGTTACCCTCTAATCTTTATTTTAGTCTCTTTCAAGTTCTACACAGTTCTAAACCTCTTGGAGAGGATACCAGTACCATCCAGGCATTCGTTATGGCACATGTCTTGTCCTGTAGCTCAGCTCAGTTGACCTTCACTTTGGAAGATCACTGATGAACAAGAGATAGGAGAATCTTTTAAATCTAGAAATGGTTCCATCCACAGGATTTATGCATGCACTGACCAGTGCGAACCAGTACCTCTAAGTCTCCTCAGCTTTTGGTGACTAATCTGGAGTAGCATTCAAATTCATGGTAGGTTTTGTCTCCATTGGTTTATGCAATACCTGCTTACATCTGGTGCCTGCAGGATGTTCTGAATCGTTAAAAAGTGTTTAATTAGTAACTAGTCATGGCCTGGGAAAAAACTTTCCTTGCAGTTGTCTTGCAGGAACCTACTTACTTAAGTGTCCCCAGTGAAATGAGCACAAACTTTTTTGGGAATATTTATATAGTGATATACCTGGAATTTGCAGTGAAATCATTTTGTAATAATGAAAAGTTATTTTCTTCCCCTAAGGCATTTCTTAATTATAACTTTGTATAATGTTTGATTGTATGCAACTTACAGATTAATTTATATTACTTTTATTTGACATATCCATCCTATTATATATTACTGATAGTTCAAATCATTCCTCAAGTAAAAATATTTAAATGCCTAGTACTCCTTACAAGACTTCAAATTTTCTTCCTTCCTTTTTTAAATTTCTTTCCTAAACTGCCAAACCTTGAAGTTATTATCACATTATGTCAGTGTTTTCCTGCTGTAAATATGTTGAAGTATAATATTTTGATACCTTACGCATCAGCTCTTTATACTAGATCCTTGACAAAAAAAAAGAAAAGAAAAAAAACCACTTCTAAACAGAGGGAAATTATATAAATCTTCTGAAGTACAACATACACGAAGGAAGTCAAAACATGTTTGTCATTTTACAAAAGGTACTGCCTGTCATTATATTATCGACTCTAAGCATTTGAGCAAGTGTGTTTCCCCTCCTTGCCATTATTTTTTAAGTAACATGATAGCCTCTGCCCTTTAGGAGTTAGCTTTGAAGGTTAGTTTGTCTGAACATTTTATTGATAACAACTTACTCCGGTGCCCACAATTTCTAGGCGTTGAAAATATGAGAAAGAAAGCATGGACCTGGTTGGAAGATAACAGTTAAGATCATTCGTACAGCTAAACACCAGATTTACTAAATTAAATTCTACATTAAGAAAGCATATTACTTTAACTAGTTTTTAATATATAAAATATATTGATTCTGCAAAAGGTGATTTTCAAGAATTAACCTTCCAATCATGCAAAGAGGAATGTATAATTCCACTGTTTTAACTAGTTTTCAATTTTAAGTAGGTTTAAACATTGACATGCTTTGCCAGTTATGGAATCTGGCCAAGCTGGTTTAAGAGACTTGGAAGCCATTGCCAAAGGGAGTTTTAATAAATTAAAGGCAGGAAGTTGGGGAAATTAAGATTATGTCCCAAAGACATTTGAGAATCCTCAATAAGCCGGTTAAAGGTTTTTTGGTTTTTTTAAGCAGTGTAGTTGGAAAGACATTTTTCTGTTGTTATTGTTTTAATTCTGGCTGCTACTTGTCTTGTACTTGAGTAAAATTCTTCCAGATGTTCATTTAGGACAAATACTTAGCGCATCTTGAAGGTAATTGAATTGTGTTGTTTTTTCCAATTCCCTTAAAAAGAGAATATTCTTCTCTGCCTCCGTCTTCCCTAGTATCTATCTCCTAAACTCAAGGGGAATTATAAATAACCACTTCTTTGCTTCAGCTTTCCCTCCAGTTGATGGAAATACCGGGGCATCTGACCCAGGGGCAGTCTGTAAGCTCCCCGAGAATCATCTGCAAGGCCTGGGATGGTGTTACCTAGCTAGCCCTGCTCCGCAACTGGTAGGCTGTCCAGGTCAGCTTATCCAGACTGACATTGCCAACATGTATCAAATGTGAAAAATGCACATATTCCACCTCTCCTCACACAGCAAGGAATACAATGACTGAATGGCCAGGTAAGTGCTCACATGTGGCTAACAGCCAGGTCTTTAGAAGCCATGGGGCTCTTCCATGGGGACGGTGCTGCCCACACTTCCACACCTTCATGTCTGCCGTGAGGTCCGTGACTGCACTTCTGTGGAGACTTCCAGGGCTGCTGATGCTGTCAGTCCTCAGCCCACACCTTGAGTAGCAGATGTTGAGGGGATACAGTGCACAAAATCAGGACAGGAAATGCGATTCAGATGGAAGGAAGCCTTTCACATGGATGTGGTGCTGCGATTCCTTTTGTTCTCAGAACCTCTCCATAAGGAAGGGATTATCACTTACATAAATCAAGGACTTAGAACTCAGTTAGCTGCCAAGAGAGTTCAAACTGAGGTGTATCCTGATTCTAAGGCTGTTTCCCCCAATTTTTTCCCAACCTGAGGCAAGACAGTAAGCAAGTTCTATAGGTCAGAAGGCATAAAGACGGAGCAGAGGAAAGTTTGGACTGTTTTCTGCAGTCTTTTCAATTTCCCCGTCTTCCTCACCCTTCCCACGTGCCCCCCAGGATTCCTTCTGTTTTAAACCACCATCTGCCTGGCCATTTGCTTGATTCTGGTCTTAAAGGAGTAGGCAGTTCTTACTTTACGGCTTTATTGTTTTTGTAGCTAGATCAAAACTGGGTATGTTTTTCATAATCCTGAAATCTGAGGGCTGATTGCCAAAGAAGAGATATATTAAGTTCATCCGAGATTCAATTATGCCTCTTACTAATCACAATTTTAAAAGTTTTTATAAATGTTTGATTTCCTAGACAATTTAACACACTGTCTCAGTTCTATTGCATGAAGTTTAATAAGAACTGTAAAATGAAATAAGTGCTAAGTGGGCAGGATCGTCACAGGTATATTTAAAGAGTGCTGGGAAATAGCTCTCTGGTGCGGCAGAAGTAACACAAGTGACTACCATGAAATCATCTCCACGTGGAGGTGTGCTCAAAATTACTGACCTCTGAGGACCAACGTGATCTATCCAAATGGACACAATAGTGAGAGCTTGCATTTGTATCAAACTTTTTTCCTTTCTATTAATCTTACTGAAGTTAACAGTTACTAATGGACTTCTGAATGCCAATGAATTTATTATTGATTAGTATGCCCAATTTGCCAGGTCAAAATTAATGCTTAGAAATGGTTATAATTCTGTGGAAATGCTTCATTCATTGATAAAGTGATATTTGAGCAAAAGTCCAAAGACAGTAAGGGGGAGTATGACATGCAGATATCTGAAAGGAGCATTCAGGCAGCAGAGGGAGTAACTAAGGCCAAGGCACTGAGGAAGAATTGTGCTTGGTGCTGCGAGAGGAAGAGCATAGTTAGGAGGTCAGGGAGGTCAGAGGGCAACTGGGAGTAGCAGACGATATGGAGCTACATAGGCCACAGTAAAAGACTGCACATTATCCTGAGACAATTTTGAAGGCTGGATAGTTAGGCTTCTGAGTCTCATCAGCTACTGTGTCTTGGTTAGATTAGAATGAGGTGAAAGCAGACTATTTGGGAGATTATAGGCTCAACAAAAGTACTGAAAGGGGAGTGAGGGGCTCGGGATATAACTGAGCAGCACAGTGCCTTTCTGGCAAGCACGAGGTCCTGAGTTCGATTCCTGATAACCCCCTCACACCCAAAAAAGAAGGGAATGAGGAGAGGAAATATTTTGAGATGCATATGAGATAGAAGTTGTACCTTAGGGAAGACTGGGAAGGAAGTATAATTTCTGAAGTCACCAAAGCATAAATGGTAAATGCTGAGATTGACTGAGGTCACCTGGGGAAAGTGTATGGCTTGAAAAGAAAAAAAGTTAGGGCTAGGGATGTAGCTCAGTGATAGAGCACTTGCCTAACATGGGTGAGGTCAGGTTCAGTTCCCCATCACTGTAAACAAAAATGTAAGGAAATAAAATTTTCAGAAAGAGTGTCAGATTTCTTACCAGTAACCCTGTATTAGTTAATTTTCTTGTTGCTGAGACAAAATACCCGACACCCACAAGTCAAAGGAGGAAAGGTTTATTTCAGCTCATAGTTTGTAGAGGTGTCATCTGTAGCTGGCACCAAGGAAGGGTAGTGTGACTGAGGAAAAAGTTCATGACTTGGCGGGCAGAAGGCAGCAAGTAGCAAACTTCCCTATACAGGCTACAAGCGGGTGCCACCCACACTCAGCATGGGGCTTCCTGTTATCCACACCCAGAACTATGATAAACCAATTGAGCAATCTACTACCACACACCCTTAATCCCATTATTGCACACTCTAGATTCAGCCACCTCCAGAAGCTCCCTATGAGGACATGAGGCTTTGGGGACATATAGATACATGTCATAACAAACCCCAAATGGGAAAGTCAGAACTAAATCACATCTTTAAAGCAACGATTACAAATGGCTCTGGACTTGCTGGGGATGTAGCTCAGTGGTAGAGGATGTGTTCGTAATGCACAAAGCCCTGAGTTCCATCCCTCACACCAAAAACAATAACAACTTGAAATTGAGACTTCATTTCCAGACTGTGGATTAAGATTGAGAGTCTCTCTTAAC